TTCTAACCGAAGGGTAGAAACGAAGTACGTACGGCAAATGCCTTCGTCATTTTTGGACTGAACCTCTGGAAGGTCGTGACGTCAATTTTGGTACCAACGACTTGTGAATGCAAGAGTATCAACGTTTTGCTTTTAACGCCTTTTGCCCGTCAAATGAACTGTAGGAAAGGCTGTTAGTGTATATTTAGTCAGCAAAGTGGATGCGTTTCATAGATTTACGAAGTGAATAAAGTATTGCAGTAAGAAATGTGAACATGTTTTGCTGAGGCAAAAGTTTTTGCCATCTAAAACTGAAGAAAGGAAATTGTCAACTTTTCAGCCCACTTACTCAACGTTAGTCCACAATTGATGCACAGTAAATAACGCAAAAGTTGGGATGAGCTCCAGCCGAACGGTCGCGAACGGCAAGCTTATGAGCCCAGAAAAACAAACCTAAAATTGGTATCATACAACAGAGAGAATGCCTATTAGCAGTTTTGAATGGGAGTGTGCTACTTCAGATGTTCGAGTTTATCAGTAAAGCAGAGTCATGGTAGCATTTACCTCCCGCTTGGAAGCGTGTCTTCTGCTCTTTTTCTGCCTTTAACTCCGTACTTGTTGTTATAATGCTGCAATCCTAGTTACAAGCATGAACATCAATTACGAAAAACTCAGTATAGCATGCATTTCTTTATCCGAGTTAGACTATAAGCTTGAACAAAAATGCCTCCTCCTCGATGGAGAACAATAAAGGTGCGCCATTAAGTGGTCGATTTACTTTTGACTAGCCTGAGTGTGCTTAAACTGAAGTACCGCGATCCAGAAATAAAGACCCTCAAGAGTTCTTCATCAATTTAGGGCTTAACATAATTCGAGTTTCCAGATCGAGTTCAATCACCTCAAGGCTGTTTGGCTTTTACAGTCTACATTAACAAAACTGGTAGTCCTATTTTTTCCCATCTCACAGAGATCATCATACCCTCTTATTGCGAACGTACAGTAGCCCACTTCAGAGAGTCCATGCACACGTCTAAAGGTCAAGCATTGACTGTGCATGAAAGGGACTTGGAAAGCGATCCGTCCGTAATCCGTCTCTGAGTGTATTGCAGCAATTTCCTTGACTCAGTGTACTGCCAAGTATATCCATTACAATCGCACATTCGGCTATATCTAGCCGCTCCTAACAACTTTTTTAAAGGCCAGATGATCAAATGGGTTCCCTGATTGTTGTCTTTGGGTCCTTTTGTTCTTAACAGTGCAAATTGTGCTCAGTACAGCAAACTTGTTAAGAGTTTATCAAAGTAAAAGTAAGTGACTTACTCTTAAGCCATATTTACATTTTACTTCTTTAGGACTGATGTCCACTTTTCATTCAATAAAAAGTCGCGTTTAGTGATACACACCACTCCTGATTTCCATAGGCCATGGACGATTGGCGCCATAAGCCTTACGTTCATGCACTAGTTGCTCTTAGTTCTGATCCAGTGAATTGAAGGAGATTTAAAACCTCGGCCACTGGACCACGCAGGTGAATGGTAATGGCATTGGAAAGTGCATGGAGATTTGGGCCTTGAATGTTGATTAAATTGCTTGCTGTAGTTGTTGGTCAGATGCAAGGCCAACTTGTGGAGTTATTACAGTGGAATGTTTCTTGACACTGCTCTCGCTTTACACAAGGCTCCAGGATCATTTTTGTGTGGTTCGAGCTAAATTCGGTCCACAACACAAATAAGTGAAGCTGGAATGTGGTAGAAAATGACAAAGTGGAGATCAAGACACATGAAACCTCAGAAAACAGTAACAGTTCGAGCTGTTCATCTCACTTTCAGCTGTCCTTCTCAGTTGCACATCCAAGGGCCTCTGGCATTATTGCGATTACCTCTGACACCCAGCGATGCTGCCCGGCCTAGGTGAAACATAATTGATGAACGTGATTAATTAAAGTGAACTAAAGCGCCTAAATTTTGCAAATGTGTGGAATCTGTGATTTTGCATACCTAAAGGTAACAAAAATAGATTTTGGATGCTGGACAGAGCACCATCTCCCTTTTATTGCTGAAAATCACCTTAATCCTTCTCATTAAAAGAATGGTATCCCATCAGTGTTGCCTTGTCTTGCTGCAATAACCAAGGATTTGGAGAGATTATATTTATCACTGTCTTCCCTCAAGTTTTACATCTTCCATTCAGATTTTTGCTTTCTTATACCTGACTTCGACTATTAAAGTTCCAAATAACAACTTTATCATACATGCCTTAAACAAGTAATTCAACTGTCTAATGACGAAACTGTTAGGTAAAACGCCGCAGTAGAGTAGAGCTTCCCTGTTCAGGAGTAGCTACAAGCTGGGGACGGTAGCCTACCCTTCTACTGCTTTATTATTGCCGACATAAGGCACTGAAGAGTGGCGAGTCAATCTTTCATGCTAAATGACTTCATTGCAAATGTAAATGGACCAAGTTCTGTAATGAGGCTTAGTAGATCGGCAGAAATATCCGCATGTAGGCGAAAAAATGCTCCAAGTTTGTCAAGTACTTATTATGTTTCTTGCCTTAGAGTACCTTCTATCCAAGCGTCTGACGTTGAAGACAGTTACAATAGGCAATGAAGTAGTGATAGAGGTATGATGCTTTTACATGTTCATTCTCTATGTTACTTTTACTTAAAATTATTAGTAAAGCAATGAACAGTTACAGCTCCGTGATGACGTCACTACTATAGTAATATTTATTGAACTTGGAACTTCAAAATACAATAAAAACGATAGTTATGGCTGATTTTGCGTCAATGCAATACTTGAAACAGCTCTAAATTAACCCATACCATCGATGTGAAAGGGATTTTAGGAGGCGGCATTTTGAATTAGGCTGGTAGTCTGCGAGTTGGGTTGACCCGTCAGACGTGACCTGGACTTGCTGGAGGTGGTCATTTCCTGGGTGCAGCGTGAACTAGGTTGGCTGACGCCCAAAGCCTCGCAGCACTTTGAAGGAAGCCTCTGTGCCATCACGCGACGAGCCTTCGAGCTTGCCAACATTGAGACTGCGATTATACCGCCCTGAGCACTATTTGCTAAACCGGCCAATTGTCTAAGCACCTGCAGATGGGGGCATATGCCCGCGAGAAGTTGGATGAACCAACTGGCGCCCAAAATAACGGCCAATTTCGTGCACACTGCGATGATAGACTTAGAGGGCTTCATATGCCCATCGAACTGTGGACTTGCAGTTCCAGGTGACAGTCGGGCCTCTCGTTTGAGTCGACAGATTTGGATGCACACAATGATGAGAGCAAAAAGATTAAAGCAAATCGTGATTCCTGCGGGTATAAGGAACCACACCAGAAGGCCTACGTAATGTCCCTTAAACCAGGCGTAGTTCGGATCGTTGGCGGGGCAGAAGCCTGGATTGAGACGGTGTAGAACAGATCCAAGTTTCGACTCTTGAAAACTGAGGGACCAATTGCTACTAGCACTGGTCTCGTTCAATGATTTCAGACACAGGTGGACATATTCGTTGATAATTAAGGTGGGAATGATGAAACAGAAGGGTAGCATGCTGGCTACAAGTACTTGGCGCTTGAAACGCCTGCTGGGATTTGGGTCAGAGCCACGCGCACGAAGCATCATATCCTAGAAGAATGAGACATGAATTAGTTAAAGTAAAGTTGAGATAAGGTGGAATTTGGTCTGTTGTTTACTTTATTTGTAAATTAGGCGGGTACAGTTCACAGAATGAAATTGTCGATGTTCTTTGAAGTCAACATAATTTTGCACGAAACGGCCTTTTTCAGAAAACTTGGATTAGGTTTTATAAATTGATCAAGTAAACTTCATAAATTCTCGTGGGATAGCAAGAAATGACTCAACTCCTTACGATAGAAAATGAGAGTTTCTCATGCGCAATTTTCTGATTAACCAGTTGTGCATACCCAGTGGCAGACTTTAGTATTTCAAATGGCAGACGCGAAATTTTACTCGCGATTTGCTTAGCTTCCTGCTTCGAATGCTGTACCAATTTTGTATAATCAAGATGAGTTATCAAATTTACCAGAAAGTGCATAGATTTTCACTGAGATCTCAAAATTCTACGGGAATATACGTTGGGCGTCGAGTTCATGTGTGAAATGTTAACGTGTTTACCAACCTAGAGGGAACCCCATAGGTCGGTTAAGCAAAACAATGGCTCGAAAATGCACAACCTCATGGAATTTTTAGCCCTAAATAGGGCAGAGTTTTTCGCCACTACGCAAATTGCACGCAGTCTTATGCTTTGTACATATGTTAGCCCTAGCAGTAGCGAGAGGCGCGGAATTACTAACTTTCATCAGGGCGATAGTGAAGATAGCCATACCTCCAGTTCAACTGCATACTCATTCAACTGTTGGAAGCTAACACCATCAAAAGGGAGCATAAAATTCAATTCCAAGGCAAAACCGTGGTGAAATATGGCATTCAAGTCCATTTCACGCTGAGTAAATTGAGCTTTTGTTGGTTGATAAAACCACGATTTGCGCTAAGGGCAGAGTCTATACCGCTCAAAATGCCGATGTGAAGTGTACATGGGTACCAGTGACACCAGCGTCATCTAACATCACGTGGCTCAGTGTTTACCTTGTCGAAGAACTAGAATATGCTACTGTTTTCCTTTGTGCACTGTCGCCCTTAATCTTAAGAAGTATTTTCAACTGTTAATACTTCTCTACTACTATTTGTTCACGCATAGGAACCACAATTTACCATTGCTTTGGTTTTTCTCTCTCTTACTCTCCTGCAACAGTAGCAAAGAAAAGCATGTCGAAACATCCGAGTGAGACCGAAAGTGCGAAACAATTCCACAGCGAAAATGGCCATCCAAACGAAAGCAGCGAGAAGGAGGAACTGGAGTAGAGAGGCAAAGGTAACGCACATTGGTCGGAGAGGCACAATGAATAAGTCCATAGCGCCACTAGCGAGAAGGAAGGCTACTAGCGCACCAAGGAGGGTGCAGCAGAGCGCAATCATCATTTTGCCTGGAAGTGGTCTTCTTAATCGTGCAGAGGTGGAAAAAACGCAGATGGCGATAACCAGCGTTAGCATTGAAAAGGAGCAGCAGATCCATTGAAACAACTCTAAAACAGTCCTTGTCCAAGACTTCTCCGTATTCGCTTCGTCTTCGTCAGGTAGGGTAAATATAGAGTCCCAGGTGAAGAATGCTCGTAAGATTTGTGTATCTGGGTCACAGAAGCTAGCGCTTTCCGGCATTTCTGCCTTAACAAAACACTTTGTGATTCCATTCTGGAGGGTACAAAGTAGTTGTTTAGGAAGCCGCTTTACTCGTTTACTGGAAGAAATATTATGACATTGGGCACAATATGTGTTTGCGTATATGATACCAGAGCTGGTGTCGACAACTGGTGAGACCTTCCGAATGGCCAGATTTAAATGCAACCCAAGATTTGGTCTGTGTTCAGTCTTAAGTTTTGATAGCAGTTGATTCTGCAATTCCTCGACGGTTCCCACCTCCGAAGGAAACACGGGGATATCGGTGGAACAGAGAGTTATTAGAGTGGATGGTGCTCCTGGAGGACACCGACCGATGGCCCTTACACGGGGCTCTAGGTGAATTCCAGCTGTGACGAGGAGGCCGCGCACAACTCCAATACATTCTAGCATCGAATCGGCCAATGCATAACTTTCTGCTCCACTTGCGCCTGCATTATTGCGACTGAAAATGAGACCAAATTCTCTTCTTCCATCTGATTTGCCAGGGGCCATTGTCTCACCCCATACCTGCGGCACAAGAAGCAGTGTAACGTGAGTCACTACAATCAACATGATTTGATGTCACGGCGTCTGATATTTGCGTGGCATGTTTGCAGCTGAATCGAAAATCGTGTGTAATGGCTTCCACCAATGGCTGCGTTGCTAGATTCTGATTGGTGGAAGTAAAACGAACGAATAAAAATAGAACGTAAGCGGCATTTTGCCATAAATTGTCATCAGTACAGGCGGCATTGTCTAAGTAGAGGAGAATCGGATGCGTTATGCGTACCGATAAAACCAATTTGAAAAAGAGAGCAAGAAGAGCAAAGGAATTTCTGGGTGCTAGTTTTTCGGAATGCTGAATCCCCTTAATAGCACCATAGAGACAAACGCTTACATTTCCTGCAAAAACCCGATACCTTTATGGAATATAATCTGCCTCTAAAATGCAGAATCGACTCAAAACTGGCGCAGCCCTCCCCCATCGTCTATTTTCAAGGCCACAGGGTTAGCGCTCTGAGGAAGTGCTAAAGCGATGTTATCTTGACCTATAAAAGAAATCGTTCAAATAAGCGTTCACTGCATGGGGGTTAAAACTCCATCTATGCAGAGAGAAGACTATAAGTAGTCCTCGTGAATCCGTTTGTGAGGATGTGTCGGTTACACTAACTCTCGTGTGCTCGTACCTCTTTCTGTTGTGTCACGCAACCGAGCGTCTTGTCAATGTGGGTTCGCCGCATTATTTACGTTTGTCCACAAAGACTTACATTCATAGTCATTCTGGAATCAAATATTGGTGAACTTTTAATAAGTAAGACTCAATTTTATGTGCTGAGAGCACTTCCTTAAATTTCTGCTCGTTAAGGCAACCCATTGTTTCCCAATCAAAATAATCGACCCAAAAAACCAAATTAAAGCGTAAAAATTTCGGAAGTACTAAGCGTGAAACTACTACCAGTAGACACCATTGTTGATGTTCATCGAACAAAATATGGCTAAACAAATCTTCTTATCCGTAACATTGTTTAACGATTGATGGTATAGAAATCAGAAATCTTTGCAATTGGCAATAAGATATTAATACGCATCGATGAAGCAACCAAATGAGCGGAAAAGATGAAACATTTTTCCAATTCACTTTGTACCTTAAAATCAACCTAAGCATACTAAACCGTTTTGTACGCTTAATTCCGTGCTATATAACCTCCAGCCTTATCCTTGAATACTGCCCATTGTCAAAGCATAAACGTCACGTCGATATGGCATTTTTTGCCAGCACATACTAGGGCGAAGCTGCAGGCACCAGTTCAACCTTAGTTTAACCGTGTCCAATGGCAGTGCGCCAAGCACTCTAACCAATCAACTTCCGTGTTCGGAAAGCAATTTGAACAAATAATGAATCGGACGTACAAAGGTGAAAAACAGCAATTTGCCAGTACGTTGAATCTAAGGGACATAAGACTCACTCAATCTATTTGACTGTCAGAACTCGTGATTATTTTTTGGAACCCTGAAGAAAGGCATATCGAGGATTTTAGCCATCTCATTAGCAAGGTGAACATTTACCAGCATCATACAGTGTTATTTTATTAATGCCACTTCTACCACAATTGCTGTTCAACTCTCTATGCCTAATTTTGAATACATTTGTTTCCTCTACCTTCTACAGTTACTACCTATTGAATATAATTTTTAAATGACTCCAATGTATTAATTATTCAAGCATAATATCAATTCTTTCTTCGAAAGCTAGCATTAGTTTCTGCCAAACATGAGCAAAATGCATGACATCTCTGCGAATAAAAGCAATTGTTATCTACATTCCTAGCCACAATCACTAATCAAATGCAAAACTATTAACAATGTTCAGGCTGGCATTCACGTAGTTGACCAACATTTTATGAAAGTTATATCCGTTTTTTATTTAACAACAAATCGATAAAATAGAATAAAAGGGTCCAATTGTCCACGGAGAAAAGGACTTAAAGCATACTACCGGCAAGTTTTGGTATCAACACCAGAGACGTGTATCAGTTTGAAGCAAATGCTAGGTGCAGGCAAGGCACAAGAAGCTTAATGTTTTACCAGTGACATAAAGCATATCATACGCAGTGGAACATGAGCTACGCTGGCAGAGTGTCACAGACACAACAGTAAGATTGATGTATGCTGCTGAACCCGTTTACATTCAATAATGATTGTTAATTTGGATGTTTTTTAGCATTATTCTCGGTTGTCCTTGCGAAATCAGTTTCAAAGATATACCAAGAGGGGCGCATGATAAATTTCTTGCAAATCACCCTTAACTCAAAGAGTAGAAACCTTACCCAGCCTCCTTTTGTCTTCATTTTCACGTTTGCAAAGTCAAGTGGCTTGCATTCGTTGAGAACACAGTTGCGCTGAAACACGTTTTCGTAAAATTATTTTGTAGTACTAACTTGCATTACAATATTGTGTCATTTGGAGGAATTCCTTCTTTTTTGACTCAGACCAGTTTAAGGAGGCAGTTGAAAAGAAACAGACAGCACGCATGTGCTAAGCAACCGTTAACCTATACAACGATTTAATTCATCAAAGATCTGCCAACCGCACAATGCTAAGCAAAATTAAAAGTGGAATACATTGCAAAAGGCAAACAGCACTGCAAAAGAGTTTGGTTAGAGCATTAACTGCCTCCTCGGAGCCTAAGTATTTCGAACAATCTTCATGGCACTAGAAGAATAGATGAGTAACTTCACATTCACTGTGAAGCATTATGGAATTAGAAATGATGTCCCATGTGACTAGGATTATCGTGCTGTTAAATGCTAAATTAGTGCACAAATGATCAATCTTCTCTTTTAGATCTGTTATTGGCATTGCTGTATGGGATATGCCGGCTGTATGTGCTGAAAACAGACAAGTCATCATTCACCAAAGTTAACCTACCAGCTTGTTTCACAGGTTTGTGCATTCAAACAAAGGAGGCGCGGACATTTAGGGTGAATATCACAAAGAGTAGAACAATGCTGATGTTGAGTCTCCCGCTGCTACTTCTACTTACTTTTCCGGCATGTGGAGGGGATTTCAAGAGCGTCCTTCTGGGTGGATGCATGAGTGCTGTCGGTTGCTTCTGCGACTACGAATGCCACGCCTCAAATGACTGTTGTGCAGCTGTGAACAACTCCCTATCTCCACTTTCTTTCGAAGAGAATGCTGTTCCATCTGCGTGTCTGAGTGTTGAAAATGTATTTCTAGACGACATAATACTTCCAAGAGGCAATTATGTCAGTGCATTCACCCATTGTCCGTCTGAAAAGACAATTGATGAAGAAGTGAAGTTAGGCTGCGAGGAGGCTAATCTGATGCTGCTTGCCAGTCGGGAGGAGAACCCATTGCAGTGGCTGCGGGCACACGCGCGTTCAATAGTTCCCGTAGTGGGTTTTCGCGATAGGCGACTTTATGGCAATATTTTTTGTGCCATTTGCAATGGACAGTTCCAGGACCAAGTTTATTTCTCACCTATTCACTTGGGTTGCAGAAAAGAAGGCAATATAACGGAATGCCTTGTTAGTGTAAAACTTCCAGCTAGTTTTAGTCGACCATGCACTCCTCTGGGTCCAAGAGCCTTTATGCCAAGAGGTATGTTCCTCAGTATGGACGATCTCTTCATCATACCCGAGGAGTACCTCAACAACCAATACATCGATCTGCCTCTCAATTTCGAAAAAAATGAAAATATCAACAATAACGACACCAAAACAATGGATTCTAATGCATCGTCAAATGTGGTATACGATCGAGACAATAGTGACGAAGCTTACGTTTGGGTCCAACTAGCACTACTTATCTTCTCAGTTGTTGGACTAACTTTGATGCTCGTGGTTTACGGTGTAAATGCGAACTTGAGACGATCATTGGCTGGCATCCTAACAATGGGACTCGGAGTGGCGCTACTGCTGATGGAGGTGACATTTTTGATCGTCGCATTTGCCGTTCCTGAGGTAAAGAATCGTGGATTTTGTGTCTGCATGGTGGCTCTGCTCTTGTACTCTCTCCTCTGCAGTTTCACGTGGATGACACTCTTTGCTACGCAGCTTCTCGTTACTTTCGGAAATTGTAGAAACTGCATTTTGTTCTGTTGGAAGTTCCTTACTTGCAAATGGAGCGCAAAAACGGTAAGGAATTGCGAAATGCCCAGTTAAAGGTTTCACCTACTAGAATTGTCCTGAGTGCAGAATTGCAAATCCCTTATGATTATGGACGTATTTACCGACCTGGAGATTTCAGACATCTATAAGCATGAAGCATTGGTTGAAGTTTTAATGTTCCGAACTGTAGAACTGTAGAATGCTATGCATTTGATTTGAAAAATGCCTCACCAAACATGCTTGCGAGTATTTAATATTTAATTGCATGCAACTGTGGCATTGCTGAATAAACACTAGGGCGATCTTCCAATAGGAAACAGAATCACAGTTGTGAGTTTCATGTCAAATTGTTTGAAGGAAATTTAAACGCTTCTGTGGAGTAGGGCAACGGGGATGACAAATGCAAGGGAACACCTTGATTTCTGAGCACTAGGCTTCGGTAACCTAAAATGTTTACAGATGTCACATCAGCGGTGATAGACTGCTGCGCATCTGGCAGGTCGGTATAAGGAAAAATGGGTAGGATAGGCAAGAAAGCACCACTAAATGTTGCGCCATGTCATCCATACACTGCTTATTGCCATTTTACCGGAAAAATTAATTTGTTCCCCACGTTCTTCTCTGCTTGCATACAAAAAATGCAAATAAATGATAAATATTAATCGCTCTGTATTTCACAGTTTCTACCTTCCGTTTATGGAACGAGTTTTAATAGCTCGACTTCTACGAAGCTCATAAAACTTCCCACTCGATTCAAAACAATAAAATCATGAAGTCAATTTTTAATTCGTTCCACCCAACTAATTCTGAGTACCAAGTTACAGCCAAAACTACGTCCAATTTTAAACAGTTAGCCGGAGTCCTGCAGGGTAGTGTGAAGAGCCCGGAAGAAGGTGACTCAAAGGTAGTTGATAAGAAAATGAAAAAGTGAACTAAGATATCTTCTGGTGTTGACCTCACAATTAGTTTCAATGTGCGTTGGGAGAACTAGTGTCTTGAGCTATAAATAAGCATTTTGAGGAGTTCAGAAAATGATGAATTTTGCCATTAAGACCATCAGTAATTTTATTCTACGACCATTTGAGTTTCATTACCTTCATTGTCTGCATGGTGCGAAATTGTTCCTGTGTCCACTGTGCTTGCGGTGTGGAGAGTCTAGCAAAAATAGCATAGCAACAATTTTTTTCTTTCTTTACTAAACTCGTTCCCGACTTAAAACCTCAGCAAAACATTAACAGTGTGGGAGTGGCGACATATCACAGCCTTTTATTTCTTTGGAACAAAACGTCAACTTCAATAATGCCTCCTCAATCACCTGCACTAGCCAACGTGTCAATGGCACAGTCTCTCATTTCATGATAAATGCAGCCTTTCGTAGCTCACTGAAATCACAATCTCCCATGCAAACATATAACATGGCCAACTCATTTTCCCTTCATTCCTTACAAAGCTCTTGGCATTTTATTTGATTGAACAGCAGTGAGCATGCAACTTTTCCTTATAGCCATCTGCATCAACTCTGAAATGATATTTTGTCTTGGGCATCTTGGCATGAAAACGAGTAGGAGTCGAACGAGTTTAGAGCTACCGGTGGGGATTCGCAGAATT